GACCAAATTGGGCATTTCTAGGACTGGCACAATTCCCACCTTCCATAAGGAAAGCCTACCATGGTGGCATGGTCCGAGGAAATATGGCTTAACCCTTATGGCTTATGGTATGATATTCAAAAGATGATTTACCCATGATGAAATTAGATATTGTAAATAGTTTTTCTTTAGGTTTTAAGACATGTCATAGTCGTTCTTGTGATGTTGATTAGTCCATTAAGTTATCACTTAATCATTATTCTTTCATCTAGACAATATGTGTGATATCATTAAAAGGGGAACTATTTTGGTTTTTACACCACATGTAGAATTTAACTCTACATCAACCATAATGCACCTCAATGTAAATTTGTAAATATCTTCCTGAAAACCATACACCCCAACAATCAAATCCATCAAATTTAGACAACTATAAAACATATATGTCCAACCACAAATACTTTACCGAACTTTTATTTTTTTATTAGAATTGCATGTTGTTTTATGATACATTAGACAACTTCGCATTTCCTCGTTGAAAATTGTATCTTACCGTATGTAAACAATAAGTGTTATGTATGGGCTTAAAATTGAAAAGGTCGAGAAATCAAATACTTGGTCGGTTTACCAATAATGATCTTTGATGCAACATTGTTGGTAATGAACATATAAGTATGATGCTTTTTTACCTCAAAAGGAACACGATCACATTTGCAATCTAAAAAACTCATTGAGTTGTGGAGCATGATCTTTCCTTTGACATCACCGTAAAATGAAACATATTTAGATGAGGTATCATCTCATTAACAATTTGATAAGTAGAATACTCTAAACTTGAAGAAGATCCTTGATACAAAGAATCAAGCTAACAAGTTTACCAAGTTAATGAAGATACAGAAGTTGAAGTTATGTATGGCTTCAAACGGTCTTCAATATACTTGAAGAGAAGGACACAAATTAAAGGGAAATAAGGTTATAGAGCTTAGATGGTAGCAAATTTGTTGATAGCCTCCACGTGAGAGATTGTTGATTTATGAAGTATGATCTTCTTAATTGTCGCTACTGAGACTACGCATGGGGGTGCAATTGTGTTGCAAGCTACGGTGTCCTAAACAAGGTCCATGTTACTTGGCACCATAGATGTAATTCTCGACAGAAAAGTTATGGTGATCGATGAAAAAGTTGCAATAATTGGCACACCTCAACTGTGGTGCACTACCTACGGGCCATATCAATGGCGACATCATGGGCTCGTGGGCCCATACCAAAAGCAATTTTAGGATAAGCGTTTTCGTAAATATATATTATGTATACGATTGCAACCATAATGTACAAAGTTTGTGTGATGGACATTATCAATAAAATTTCTCTAGTTTGTCGGTAGACATGGCTCGATTAAATTTGATCGAGTGAACCACTTTAACTTCTTGAATTCCTTATTTTCTTTGCATCTTTAATTACATGTTCTGTGTGATTTATCAATTGCCTATCCAAACAAGATTGTTCTTTTATGCACGTTTGAAGTTGAGTTCATGGCAGCAACGACAGTACCAAGCCATTTGGATTGGAAACCTCGTGAAGGAATTAACATGACATTCTATTATGCCATTTACTTTCTGTGTCGACAATTTCGTTGAGGAAAAATCTTGTGTTTCATGGTCGAAGAAAACACATTGATATCTCTTTTCACTTCATACATGAGTCTGTTGAACGTAGGCAAACTGCAGTAAAACATGTCAAATGGAAAGATCATCAAGCATACCAAGATTTTTGCACATGTTAACCATGTTCAACATAATAAACACCTAAATTGGTCCGGTGTAAAGAGGGAGGGGGATGTACTCAGTGTTGCAAAACTCGGCCTACTCGGCCGATTACTCGGAATCGGCCCTCCACCGAGGCGAGTAATGTGAACTCGGCAAAAAAACTCGGATTAAGTCAAACTCAGTCAAAAATCGGTCAAAAATCGGTCAACATCTCTTTAACTCGGGCCTACTCGGTATTACTCGGGCCTACTCGGTCAAACTCGGCCAACTCGGTCAAAATTGTCATAAAAAGAGAAAAAAATCAATAATTTCAAGATTAATATGTATAATACACTTAATGATTTATTATTTAACACACACATGTGATTATTACTACATATATATCTTAAATTTTCAGTAATTATTTATGAAGTGAGACATTTGTGTGTATTTCAGTTTTTATGTATTCACATGTATCTAATTTTGTTATATATTTCAATCAAATTATGATTTTAACTTATGATTTTGACATATATAATTTTCCTAAAAATGTTTCTACATGAATTACCGAATCCGAGTACTCCCTACTCCCCAATCGGCCGAGCAGGTACCGAGTAGCGAGTTCTACAACCTTGGATGTACTTGATCATCTCTTGCATTCTAAAAGAAGGGGTTCTTAAGTATTTGGGGGGGGGGGGGGGGGGGGGGGGGGGGGGGGGGGGGGGCGCTATAGGCTAGATTTGTAGTTGATTATCTCTAGTCTTTAATTTCTTATTGTAAAAGAAAACTATAAATTAAAGAGTAAAAATCAGTTTTTGGCTACAGAATACAGCCTCTTTTTCCCCTAATTTCCACAGCCCCAAAAACCAAGTTTGGCTTCACTGATTTGAGCATACAATTGATCCTATATTTTCCAACACAAGCATATAATGTAAGTAGGGCTTATTTAGTAGCAACAAGGTTTCCGTTATATATCATTAATTTTGTTACAAATTAATAATAGTATTCCGAAGAAATAGATCTGCACATGATATTACATATGATATAGGAAAGAAAATGGAGTCTAGTGGAACTTGAGGCTAGTCAAGACATTGTTGTTGACAGGATCAGCCAAATGGTCCAGCAGGTTCTGGAAAGGTCCAACCCCGGTCACCAAACCCTGAATGAAGTAACCCAAGATTGCTAACATAGCCAATCTTCCGTTCTTGATTTCTTTTAGCTTCAGTTCCTTCATTGACTTCTCATCTTTCCCGAACCCGAGTGGGTTAAAGAACGGCCCACCTGGGTATGCCGGGTCACCCGACCCTGAAAAACCTTTCTCCAACCCCAAGAAGTATTGCTTCCCCATTGACCCTGGGTTATACCAGTCTTGGAGTCTTCTATGCTCTGCGAAACCCATCAACGCCATTTCCAATACAAATAGGGTGAAAGGGTCTGCCCAGTAGTTGTATGTTCCGGCTGGGGGAATGACACCGGTCTTGAACCAAGGGAGGGCGGTTTCCGGTGGGATGAGCCCAAGCTTGCCGAAGATCTCTGGTGCAATGGCGCCAGCTGCACCCAACATGGCGAAACGTCCATTGATAACCTCGCCGTATGCTAGCCACTTGGGTTCGATGAATCCTCCGGTCCCTTCTGGGTCTGAGAGACCAAGTGGGTCGAACCCAAAGTCGCCTGGGAGACTGTAAAATTCAAAGTCTCAGGTGAAAAAGAACTTGTTTGATCAAGACTTCTTCGCTTTCTAGTTGTTATATTATATATTTATTTATTTTCTCAAAAACCACTACAATTCATGCCTATCTTTTAAGTTGGTAACACTTATCTTTGACTTCAAAAGAAAAACTGTATCTTTCTTTTGTTGGAACGATGAAATTACCTTCCATCAAGGTAAGAGAGAGATTGCTTGGATGCAAACCACAACTGTCTGTTAGCTCCTTGCTGGTAGACATACGATAACCCATCAAGTCATGATCAAACTCACACACAAATATGAGGAAGAACACATCATAACACCAAAAACCCATGTCATAAAACATCATTTGACAACAATCGATCTAATTTTATTCAGTAATATATAGGAGAAAAGGGTGTACCTTAACAGGAGGGGTGGAAGCAGCTTTGACAACAAAGGAGACCTTTCTTGAAGATGTTGTGTGAAGTGGCCTGGCTGCTAGGATTTGCCTAGCAGACTCCACGGAGGAGGTGAGCGAAGACGATGAGACCAAAGCCTGTGTAGCCATTTTCCTTGAGAAGATTAGATGATCGTGTGTGGCTGCATTAGGAGAAGGGAGAGGGGAAACATAAGGGGAGGGTGAAGGGTGTGGGGTAGGTGAGTTTGTGGTTTGTGTTGAGGCAACCTGAATTCGGAGATGAGGTTTGGGATCTTTTGTTCCAATGAGGTTAGCACATGTGGCATGTCTAACTTGGATAAGAGATTTTTATCTAACTTCTTGTTTGTACACATTACTTACTACTTTCGTGGCCTTCAATTGTCTGGTCAAGTGGTCATATGGGAATCTTACAGAGTCTGGGTATGAATTTTATACTTATGTTACATAAGTTATGTATATTGCCTTTTAAATTTTCCAGCCTTGTACGTGTTCGACAAATTTTAATTAATTTATTTCTACGATTAAAGAGTAATAGATGGTTCAAACTTGTTTAAGATAATCTAAAGGTCATAAACCGATTGAGATGTTTGATTTTTCTCAATATGTTTTCTTTTAGGTCAAAATCAGAAAATCACAACAGATTGCACATGTATATATATAAAAAAAAAACTTGAGAAAATGACTTAAAAGACCAACGAACTTTCCAAATTGTTCAAAAAACACCAATTATGTTTTGTTGTTCAATAAACAACAATGAAATTGACGTTTTGTCTAAAAAAGTCAAACTAAGTTATGATTTTTTTCAATTGTCGTTAAAGGCAATCGGCATCTGTGGATTAAATGTATTTGTTTACCGGTTAATAAAAGTCAACCAAAGTTAAAAGATGGCATGGCTTATTATTTTTATTATGTGGAATTAAAAATGCCACACACTCACTAGAATTATCCAACAAAGGTGAAATTGGAACCCACACACTCACTAAAATTACCCAACGAAGTGAAATCGGAACGGAACAAAGGCGATCTAGGGTTCTTACAGGAGGTGAAATCGTTTATTACACAAGGGTGAAATCGTTTTCTACACCAGTATGAAATTGTTTCTACAGAAGGTGAATGTGAAATTGGTTTTACAGAAAGTGAAGGAGTGTTCGATGAGTATGCAACAAGCATGTCAACAGATGGTGACTCCCTTAACATTGATGTCTACAACAAAGGTATTTTTTTTTCTCTTAACCCCGTCGTTTACTTCCATCCTCAAAAAGTATATGTTACGGGGTTAGATTTATGTAACATGAATTTCAAGGAGTTCAAGACCTACCTCCGAAAATTGATCAACAATAGATGTTGGGATGTGTATTACTGTCTTAGAAATCAGTTCCTCTTAGATGGGTTGAAGGAGCTCAGGGATGAAGATGATTACGTAAGGCTCCTTGATGTTGGGTTTAATGATGACAATAATCAAATCAGCATCTACATTGATGACTATCACAAGCCCATACTGGATTGGATTGAAGAAGAGAAAAGCTGAAGAAGGGGACAATGGTAGTGATACATGTGAAGATAACGTGGACTCGGTATTGTTAGATGATCTATCGGTGGACCATGAAGCTGATGATGAGGACATCCAGTGATCAGAATATATTGATCATTTTTTGTCCTAGACGAATCTTATTCCAAATGGGGGGATGGAAGAAGAAGCTGTTGCTAAGGTAAAAAGAAACATCTTATTCACGATCCTAACCAAAAATGGGACACAATGAAGCCTGAATTAGGTATAAGATTCTCTAATCGAGACGAACTGAAACACATGTTAACAAATTATGTTGTGTCTAAGGGTTATATGCATTGTGGTATGAAAAAATGAGTCAACTAAGCTGTTAGTGCGGTGCAGTAAAAATGAAAAAGGGAAGCCATCATGCCCTTTTAGACTATGCGCTACTCCCATGAATAAAGAGAATTCATTTAAGATAAAGTCACTAATTGATTAACATAATTGTACTAGACAACAAAAATTAGGGTATCTTGTCACTTATAAGTGGATTGGAAAAATGTTAATACTTGACATTTTGGAAATGCCTCGTTTTAGCTATAGAAAAATAGCAGAAGTAGTTAGGAAAAACTTTGGTCTGAAGGTAAGTCTTGGGCAGTGTAGAAATGCCAAGTACTATGCACTAGATGAGATTTCAGGCACTTTGGTAACCGATTATGAGAAACTATGGTCTTATGGTGTTGAGTTATTGAGAGCTAATCCTAGTTCAATAGTCATAATTGAGACAAATCATATGCATGATGGTACACACTACTTCAAAAGGATGTATGTTTGCCTGAAGCCTGTCAAGGATGGCTGGATTGAAGGATGTAGAAGGGTGATCGGTGTTGATGGCTATTTTTTGAAGGGTATTTGTAGAGGTGAGTTGTTAACAGCTGTTGGTAGGGACGCAAACAACCAAATGTACCCTCTGGCATGGGCTGTTGTGGCAATAGAAAACAAGGAAACTTGGGAGTTGTTCATAGATCTTCTACTTCAGGACATTGAGATGGGAGATGGTACGAGTCTTACTACTATTTTGGACCAGCATAAGGTGTGTTTTAGTTTACTTTTACTTAGTAATTTATATATTTTTTTTATGTAATTTAAAACTCTAATATTTTCACCTTGTATGGTTTGATGGTGGCTGTTAAAGAAAGGGAACCATCATGCGAGCATAGGAATTATCCCCGACACATCTTCTCTAACTTTAGAAGAAGTGGTTCACGGGTGTCGAGTTTAGGAAGTTAATTTGGAGAGCTTCCAAGGCTACAATTGACTCTACTTTTCACTCTTACATGAGGGATATTCGTGCAATGTCCATAGAAGCTTATAAACACCTGATAGAAAGAGACCCGAATACATGGTATAGGGCATTCTTTGAACCCGAGAGGTGTTGCGATGTCTTGGAGAACGGTATATCTGAATCTTTCAATGCAGCAATCCTAGAAGCCCAAAAGAAACCCATAATAACAATGCTGGAAGAAATCAAGGTGTACGTGATGGAGAGGATGTACAATCAAAAGCTTAAAGGGAAAAAGTGGGACTTGGAAATCTGCCCCTCCATTAGAAAGAGGATTGAGAACATGATAGAACTGTTGGATTAGATGTCTAAGCCCATAACTATTATTGGTATGTATTCGACCCGAGAGTAGCATGGTCCATTTGGGTTGCATGGCATCAGAACAATTGGATAGACAAATGAGAAAAGGTTATTTATGATTTATATTAATATATTATAAGTTCTAATATATTAATATGAAATCATATTATTTAATTAGTATTGATCAAGAATTAATTTGGAATTAATTTTGTGATCAAAAGGAGACTATTAAATATATGGGGATTGATTATGTAAATCATTCATTCTTATATATGTGGGCTTGTGATCCATTGTCCTTCATGTTGGGCTTAACCCATGGATACTCCATGGAGGTTAAAACCCATGGATCATGAAGGAAATGGAAAGTCATGGGTTTACATGGTGTAAACCTAATGCGCCACACTATATAAAGGACCCCATGGTTCATGAAATTGGCACTAGTGCATACACAAAAAGAGGGGTAGCCGAATTTCATAAAGGGTGAACCAAATAACCTTCTCTTAAGTTATTCCAATTGTTGGTGGTGTTGTGTGAACCATTTGAGGTGCAACACTTGGGGCACTAAGCTCTTAAAGGTTCAAGACTTCAAGCTCCATCAAAAGGTATGTCATCTAACTAGACTTTTGTAGTATAGTTGCTTCATAATATGCTAGTTAGGATGATGCTTTGGAGTTTTGAATGTATGCATGTATAATAGAGAAAACAAAGATCCAAAGCACATAGGTTTGCATGTATGGTGGTTGTCGAGGCCAACAACAATAAATAACCCTAAATCTTTTACACTAAAATAGTGTATAGTGGTAAAGGGGCCGATCCACGGAGATTAGTTCAATTTATAACTCTATGGAAAATCTCTTTGCAAAAGTACTTCTAAAATGACAATAAAATAAAAATGGGGTTTTGATCTTTTTGAAATACTTAAATTAAAACTAGAATTAAACTAGAACTTAAATGAACAATTTGGCAAAAATAAGAATTTGATGTGAAATCAATAAGAGAAAGATGGTTTGACTTAAGGTTTCCTCACTTTGACTTTTGATGAACATATCATTAGAATCCAATGGTGCAATACTTGTTTTAAACCCTTAATTTGGCTATAGTAATCCAAGAAGCTTGAGATTACCTAGACTTTTCTTAATTGCTAAAATGGTTAGAGAAGCTCATAACAATTTCCTTAGTCAAAGTCACAATTTCCATTAAGCATGTAATTAGTGAAAGTCAACTAGCATTAAGAACCAAAAAGTCACCAAATCCAAGAGGAGTCAAAAACTTCCACTACCATGTTGGAGAAAATGTTTTTATGATTGTATGAAGTAAAACCAACACAAAAATCACTTGTTGCTTGCTAATTTGGAGATCATTTACTTAATAAAGAAATAAGCCAACTAATCACCACAAACACATTTAAACTCATGAATAAAAACATATAAGTAGTGACAAGATGTTAAAACTCAAAACATTCTCATAAAGATTCAAACACAAGTTCATGGAATCTTCAACATTCAACAAAAGTTCAATGGATTCAACAAAAGTCAACCAAGATTTGTTTAGCCAAGCATGGCTAAACTCAAGAAAACAAAGTTAGATAAGATTGTACCAAACATTTGATAAGAATCAAGAGATGAAAAGATGAAGTTCTTCAAGGTTTTTGGTCTTCAAAGTCCTCCAAAACTCCAGAGAGAATGTGTCAAAATTGGATGTTCAAGATAAGATAAAAGAGGCACACCAACCTTCCCAATATAGAGCTCAAAACAAAATCCCAAAATTGCCCCTTCAGGAATCCACGCGGGCCGTGTGGAAACCTTACGCAGGCCGCGTGAGGTGTGACAGATTTTGGGCTTCTTCAAGTCTTGGGCCCCCACAACTATTCCATTGGCCCAGTTCGAGTCTAATCAGCCTCTAGCCCATTTTTCTTCAAGATTTTTTCAATTTGAGCCCAATTTGCCTTCTCCAAATCACTCATAGCTTCCAAAAACTCCCAATTATCGATCTCCGCACACTCGAAAATCCTTCCGCGCCTTGCAAATTTAAAATTCAAATCTTCCAAGCCTTCAAGCAATTGACAAGCCCACTCCATGAATCACCTCCATAGCCATCAAGCTCGAAATCCCCATTGCCCTTCAACTCCAATCGCCTCCCAAAAATCCCGCTCCGCTAGTCTCCAAAAATCTACAATAATGCTCAAGAAACTAGAAAGTACCCGAAATGGTCATAAAATAACAAAAAGGAAAATATGCATGGAAATTAACTAAAATGCGAATGAAATGTGCTAAAATAAACTATTAAAAGAAGTAAATAAAATGAAGCTATCAATTCACCCCAAGCTTAAACCTTACTTGTCCTCAAGTAAGACAAGACTAAAATGAACTCGGGATGAACTATCCTAAGAAAAATAAAAAGAATGGATAGAACCGCATAACCTTATCACCATTAGTCCACATGGTCAAAATTGATCTTGCTATTATATCATTACTTTTTCATCCGATGACAATGGGACCATAAACCACAGCTAGGACAACTCCTTTAGGTGAGTAAGGAGGGATGGTCAGTCGCAGCCCCAATGGAACATGCATACAATGAAGAACATCTGTAGTAGGAGAAAAAGCAGCTGGATGGCTCGAGTGGAGCTTTTCTTTATGTCTTATCACGACATGATCTCACGACTCTCAAAAGTGATTGGGTTTCATCGCTCGGGCACCATTGTCAACCCGAAATGTAAACCCGTTTCCGTTAATAAAAGTTAGTTCTATTAAAATTTTCCGTTAACTTTTATTTATTAAAATAATTCATTGTGAGTTATTAAAATAATATATATTTAATGACGGAATAAAAGCATCTAAGTCGGGTTACGGTTAGTTTACCGGGTAAAAACATTTAGCTCCGTTTAAACGACAGTGTATGGTGGGTCCCCACTAGGCAGCCATATATAAAGGAGGAGTGTCCACCTTTAGAGCCTTTTCCCACCTTGGAGCTTTCTCTCTCTACTTTCTCTCTCTCGAAGCCTTCAAAGGTAATCTTCCTAACGAAATTTTCTAGCTTAGTATTCATGCTATTTCGAGTTGGATCATCCAAATGCCTCAACATGCATGTGTTTACGGTTTGGGGAGCCTCCCAAAACCGTGAACTCCTATATGCGGGTTTTGAAGCCCCAAAACACTTCCAAACCTTCTCTAATGCTTAGATATAGCTTAGATACTTGCATGCATGAACTAAGGAACCCAAAATCGTGACTTTTGGCCATAAACTTGAGTTTACGGTTCTTGAACATTCAAGAACCGTAAACCCAAAACCGTAAACACCTCAAATGGTGTTTTGATGCCCCTAAACCCTTCCTTAGCTTGTTTGATGAACTTGAAACTAGTGTAGATGAGCTTAGGACCCCAAAACATGAAATGGT